CCTAAAACCCTAAACCTCTCAATCATTACCAATGGAACAACAACCCGAGAACATCCTCTACGAAACCCTAAGCCCTCTCCCTCTCTCTACGCTTTCCGATGTCCCCTCACGCCCTCAATCTCCGCCGTTGGATCAATTGGAACCCTACACTGTGTTTCGCAACGAGATTTCGTTATCTGATCTTGGTGGCGGGTACGTGGAATCTCCCGCGCCTGATTTTTTCTCGCTGGATGTGAATAGTAGTGGAGTTGATGAATTGGAGGAAGCCGAGCCGAAGTGGCAAAAGGAGCCGAAGACGCCGACTAAGGAACTTGAGCCGAGGTTGGAGAGTGGCTGGTTCAGAGGCAATAGTAGCTTTAAGAGTCCGATGCTTCAGTTACATAAAGGTGAATTTAACGTAATTGAACAAGTAAAAGCATCATGTTGTGATTGATTGTTATTGGGCATTGTTTGGATTAGGGATAATTGTTTAAAATTTGAACTTCTCATTGTGGAGGTCGATTTTAGTATGTGGAAGTGTGAACAAGTGACCTTGCTGTTGATTTTTTTTAGAGTGTTGGGATTTTTGTTTTACTTTTAAAATTATATTAATAAATGTGTTTAGCTTTTCTGGATGTGGATGTCAGAGCTTATAGGAACAAACTTGTTGAATAATTTTTGTTTTATTTGTACTTCATCCTATATGTATTTGAAACCTATCATCTAATTATTGGTATTACAGAGATTGTGGATTTCTGTGATTTTCTATCTCCAACTCCAGAAGAACAAGCTCTTCGCAACTCTGCAGTAGAATCTGTTTTTGATGTTATTAAATACATATGGCCCAAGTGCAAGGTATCATCTGATACTTCCTCTTTCTATCTATGCGTACTCTGGTTTTGTAAAAGCTTAAAATATGGCATCTCACTGTTTTTGTTTGATAGCCTGAGGTTTTTGGTTCATTCAGGACAGGGCTTTATCTTCCAACTAGTGATATCGATGTAAGTATGATAATCTTGTTTTCCCTGTGCTTGTGACTTTTATGATGCGTTTCGTTATTTTTAATTGCCTACTTTTTTTTTTTTTTTTTAAATAACAACATATGTTGTCATATATTAAAATTGGGGAATTTGATTTGTTGTCAACTAAATTCAGGCCTGTGGCTGGATGCTTTTATGTAGGTTGTGATTCTGGGGTCTGGTATCAGAAACCCACCAACTGGTTTGCAGGCTCTTTCTAGGGCATTATCTCAACGAGGTATTGCCAAAAAGATACAGGTGTGCTTTCATTGACACTATCATCGTCTGTTTTTATTAAAGATTTTGGAATCTAAAATGTCATCTTTTGTGTTTTAAGGTGATTGCAAAGGCTCGTGTGCCCATCATTAAATTTGTAGAGAAAAAAAGCGGTTTTTCATTTGATATAAGGTACATCTGCTAACCTTTTGATCCGTTGAATCAAAGCCTGCTTTGCATCTCTTTATATTTGTTTTTCTCGGAGTATTGACCAATGTTTTTTTTCCTCTGGATGACAGTTTTGATGCTCAAAATGGACCAAAAGCAGCTGAGTTTATCAAGGTTTTTATCTTGCCTGTTTTTCTGGTCACAATAGGGATTGTAATCCTTTTAACGAATGTCAGATGAGATCAAGCAGTTTTGTAACTTTAAACAATTTTGTGCATGCGTATGCTTGTTTAATAGTTTCTTTTTTCAGGATGCATTATATAAGTGGCCTCAATTACGTCCATTATGTTTGATCTTGAAAGTTTTTTTACAGCAGAGGGAACTGAATGAGGTTGAGTTTGTTATTCTCTGCCTTTTGTTCAGTCAATCTTATATCACAATCTGCCTAATTTGATTTCTTTTAGTTTTATAGGTATATTCTGGTGGGATTGGTTCATATGCTCTCCTTACCATGTTAATGGCAGTGTTGAAGGTAATATTCCCATTGAAATATCTAGTTTGCACTCGCAAATGGGCCCGTAGTCTCACTTTTGATCTATACTCAGTGAGATGTTCTTGTTGTATTAGCAATTTAGCATGCTTTTATTAAATCTAAGAATTTTAAGTAGGTTGAGTGAGTCATATTCACTTTCAAACTTTAGTTTAAGATCAAGATTAGGCAATGAATTTTGAAGCTGGCTGCACTGTAGGAATCAAGAGACAATGATGCTACTTGTCAGTGAAAAGTTCAGGATGGGGTGGGATGATTGTTCTAATAGTTATTGCATATCTGAAATAGAGAGACCTCCCTAGGATGAGCCCCTGATATTGACTTTTGATATAATTTAGAATTTGTTTTTGCAAAAGTTATGTTGATAGCGACTGTAAAATAAAAAAGTCTAATATTAATTATCCACTTACTGCATACGCTCTGCATCAGAGTAGCACCTTGATTTTATCTCTTTGATACACTTAATTCTTTGAAATTCTTGAGTAACTACTGTACATTATGGACAGCATTATGTATTTTATCTGATTGTTGTTTATATAATTTCGATGGTGCAGAGTCTTTATGAGTGTCAAACTTCTCCAGAGCATAATTTGGGAGTCCTTTTGGTACGTGTTCTCAGCCTTGTTGATCCAGTTAACACTTGTTTCTGAGTCAACAATGCCAAAATCTCAAGTATTAAGCCTGGGATTTAGTTGCTTGTCCTTATCACCTGAAATGATACGAAAGAATAAGATAACATAATGAACATGGACTAAGGAGTGTGGTTTGTAAGACGTAATTGTTATAGTTCTAATCTTAGAGATTGAACCTCAATGTTTCAGAGTAAAATTATTTGACATTCTTTTAATTTTTGTTTTCAAAAATAGGTACACTTCTTTGATATTTATGGACGCAAATTGAACACCACAGATGTTGGTGTATCTTGCAAAGGGAACGGCACCTTCTTTAAGAAGAGTAGCAAAGGGTATTAAAAAATGAAAAATACCTTTATTACGAAGATAAATTTACTTTCTCATTTTGAAATTTA